ATCTTCGACTGTTACAGTTGATGTCTTCAATAGAGAACCATCACAATTTGCCCGGGTTGGCTTGGTCTTGAGTTGTCTTATTATCCCATAACTTAACAATTTCTTGTCATGTCGCTTATTAATCAAATCCCGGACCCTCTGTGACTTCTGATCGGTCATGCTCTGGAGTTTTTTGAAAATCATCCAAAGCGAGGTACCATGAGGTTTGAGGTTTGAGGTGCTCTCAAATCGAAATAAAGATGACAGTGTCGCTTGCATATTAATTTTGCTCTAAATATATGGTATTTTCTTGTAATAAATCATCTGGGTTGGCCATAAATTGCACCATTTTGCATCGGCCCAGAATAAATGTAGGCGAATCATGTGTGTCTTTAAGCACATGAAAAGGGCTTTTATAAACTGATTACCACAGCCTTTTCTCTAAGAGATTCGGTGTCTAGAAATTAATGTTACTTATTGTTATCATCTTAGTCATCTCGATGTCTACTCACCATAAATCCAGTTATGTCGTTGATTGTAATAACAAAGACAATTATGTCATATCAACGATTCTACTTTAAATGCGAGCAAGGAGAGGTCTGACTTGTTTTGATAGTGACTTCAGCCCTGTAACTCAATGTTTTCTGTAGGTGTGTAGTGTAGTGGTAACGTTTTGCCCTTTTACGTCTCGAATCTCGTTAGGAGAACTGAGGAAACCCAGTCGAGATCGAAGAAGAAGTCAACGCCGGATGAAAGCGCTTTTTGGTAATCAAGGCATTATGACATATAGGAACTTTGTTGAGGGGAAATGTATTCGTCAGTCCTAAATCATCTAATGAGAGGTTTATTGGCTGAAATTCTTTTATAGATATATGAAAGGTCTCAAAGCAAATAAGCCAATTGTTGGTGGACTTTCATTTCGTATGAAAGTTCATTAAGAAAAGATTCGTAGGTCGATCTCATTCCAACTATTTTATCTCAAGAGATTCATCGAAACCCAATTTATCTTTGTATCTGAACTGTACATACAGCTAGACTTCTTTTCATTTGTCTTCTCGCTACACTGCAACCAAGAAAACTATATTCCGGCAAATTAATATAATTAGATTTTTAAACATTTTTATTGCTCATAATGTTGTTCCTATGTGTTATTCACTCGGTAGACGTTTTAATCTGCCGAAGTCCACCAATAGGGAATTTGATCAGGTATCGTGCCATTTGCTTAAAATTAGGCTCAAGGAAAGCATTAACAAACTACGCTGACTAATTGGAACCAAAACTAGGCTTGGGCAATCTCTTTCTGAAATATTAAACGATATGGATCTTCTTAGATTACAAGATATGGATGACGGGTTGGGAGAGGAGACTGGCAGAATGACACGTCGGATACATGATAAAAAGCTCCAGAATTAAGGAATTAGAATTAGGTCAAGAAACTTTGCGTTTAAGGTAAGTCATACTAACCATGGTTGTATCAAACTGAGGAAGGATACGGTAATTACTTTATCTAATGCAACTCTGGAGGATAGTGTAGTACTTTTATTGGAAAGAGGATAGAAATTTGCTCTTCCAAATGAGGAAAATCATTCTCTGGAAATACTTTTTGAAGTAATTGGCTTATCAGATAGATTGCCTGAAGAGGTAAAGAATAGTATTGAACTGGAGGTGACTTCTCAGTTTGACCATAGAATACCGCCAAAGAAAACTAGTCCTTTAAGTAAGGTTTCTAGTTATCTATCTGGTAATAATCTAATCGTAATGAAAACCGACAAAGGTGGAGCAGTGGTAGTCATGGCTAAGTCAAGTTATGTAGAAAAAAATGCTAGTTCATTTAAATGACAATGACACCTATAGGCCTTTACTGAGAGATCCGACAGAAAGACTTAAGACTAGGCTAAAAGATGCCCTTAGGGTATGCGTAAGTAATGGTGAAATGGAGAAGTAGAAAATGAATTAACTATTCCAGAGAAATGCAAGGACCCCCACGGCTTACGGTTCCCCTAAAGTTAACAAAGAGGGTGTCCCTCTAAGATTAATTGCAAATAATAAAAGAAGCGTGATGCATAAAATCTCACATTTTTATGCATACAAATAAGGAAATTTACATATTTTTGGCTATACTCAGTTAAAAATTCGTATAATTTTGTTAAATATATTGAGCAGCAGACACATTCAGAAGAGGATAAGCTAGTAAGTTTTGATGTTGTGTACACCAACATTGCTGTTCAAAGAGCTATTCAAGCTCTGATACAAACTCTGGAGGAGCATCCAGAGATAACAGAAGGAATAAGGTTTAGTGTAGCTTCCATTATTAGACTTATCAACCTACCCATGAGTACCACATATTTTACTTTTGGTGGTGAGTTATATGAACAAATACAAGGACTAGCGATGGGATCTAGCTTGGCTCCTATCTTGGCAAACAATTTTATGGCAAGACTGAAGGACCATTTCCTGCAAGAGGCAATACTAACACCCAATGCGTCGGTTAGATACATGGATGACCATTTTGTCATCCGGCCTCATGGTAACGAAAGTTTATATAGTTTCCTACTTTCACTCAACCGGCATGAAAGGAACATTGGGTTCACACTGGAAATGGAAGATAAGAAGTCTACCCTTTCTGGGTGTTATCGTCATTAGAGAAGAGGGTAAGTAAGGAAAAGGTGTTTATAGAAGCCAACATATGTTGGTTCTTTGCTAACTTTTCTTTCCAACCATAGTTACAAGACTGAAGTTGAAATTTTGAAATCACTAATTATTAAGAGTATGAGGCTGACAAAGTTATTCTTGGAAAATAATTATCCTTTGGGCCTTATTAAAAATAATATCTTTCTACTGAGGAATCAATTTTCAGACGGAGACTAGTTAATCAAAGCTAGACAGACTGAGACCGTTTCCCATGTCCTAAGTTTGTTGTCGTGCCTTCTTTCAAAAAAGATAGGCGAATTAGTAAGAAAGTGGGATATAAAAACAGTGTTTACTGAAACCCTCACATTTTCTTCTGTATGCCAACTTTTTGAGAGAAATATTACCCATTATCGAGATCCGGCTGCTACAAGAATGTTTGCTCATGTGGTCGATGTTATGTTAGGGAGATATGCCGACCTATTCGACAAAGCTTGGGAGAACACAAAAATGCTTGTAAAGGAAGCTGGGTCCAACGGTCAGAAGTGGACTAACACATGGTAGAAACAAAACATCAAATAGAATGGTCTCAAACTAGTAGGTTTGTTGATTATGATAAGTCTGTGGTTTAAAGAAAAATAAGAGAGGCTATTGAAATTGATAGCTTAGGAAATACGGTAAATGTGAGGAACGGTGGTAGAAAGTTAAGTAGGAACTACTTGTGCCTGATTGATAGATTGAAAGAAAGAGAGGGTTTTGAGCCGCCATCCAAAATAAGGCGACTCAACTGGCCTACTCAGTGATTGTTCCAACTTCATTCATACTCGTCCAAAATGTTAGATTGAGCTCATCAACCAAACCAGACATGCCAGATTACGCAGGTGGACTGCTTTAACCTGAATGTTGTATTAAAGCCAAACAACTGCAGTAAAATGGGATTCAGCCGTCTTCTTCTGGTATGATCGATATACAAATCTCCTTTTCATGCACTTTCATACAAAATGAAAGTCTCCCAACAATGTCACCTCAGAAGATCCATCAAAACTAGTTTCTCTTCGCAAATAAGCCAACCAGTAAATGCATGTTTAACTGGGTCCTACGTCTCAGTTTCGTAAGGAGCCTGGCAATCGCTGTGAAAAAATTCATTGGCTTTCTAATTGACCTCTGTGTACTCTGCTTTCAACCATTGATGACAAGCTCCCTCTAGCTAAAGATTATCTCCAGAAAGAGCACTTTGTATTCACTTACTTATTTCTATACTGACTGGCTTTCGTCTTTTGACAGGCCTTTTTCACTACCTCAATGATTTAGCCGAATTTTATTAAGATTGTTTGACCTTTTTTTCGCAATTTGGTCATATTGACAGGAAGACCTAAATGAACACACCTTATCCAGGGTCTATAGTAGGCAGGATACTTTCACGAATCGAACCATGGACTTGGTAAATTCTCAGAACTTCCGCCAACTTCATAATCGGCATCATCAGTGAGCCTTGCCATTATTAGCATTGCACTACAACCTGTCAGTGACAAGTGAAGTCGATCTTTTGACTAATTTTCTGCTAAGCAGTTGAGGTATCTCTCCTTCTATCCCGATGTATTCACCTATACTATATCCTGAATTTTGCTAATTAACTTCTCAAAAGTTTCCTTTAATAAATATATTTTCATCAATAAACGCATCTTCTACCCCCATTTCTCTG